CAGCTCGCGCAACAAATCGACTACAAACCGCCCTGTCCGGACTTCCCAATCGTTTTCCTAATCAAATTATTTCTACGTATGCGAGTATATTTTACGTTGTCGCGGCACAATAAGATCTGCAAAGGCATAGAATCACGCAGCTCCTTAAATGTGATACAGTTATAAACTGCTCAGTTTTTATTGCATTATCTACGTTCAAGTTTTATTGTTTGCATTGGTTAATATTATTTTATTAATTAGTATTGTTTCCTTTATATATTTTTTATATATTATAGCGCTTAAATGCAAAAATTTAACGCGGTATTTCAGCGTTGAATGAGCAATCATACAAGTTCCTGAATTTCATGACTAATTTGAAGAAAAGTGCGTTTTGTAGCAAATAGATTAAGCAAATAGATTCGTGTCGAATATAAATTTTCGCTGAGAGTAAGTTGCCTGATGTCAATTTATACGTTTTTAACTGTATTTTGAGATAGTCGCTTTTGACATTGGTTTTATTGGATTAACTAATTATTAATAATTATTCTGTTGTTGCTACGTTTAATCAAATATTTTATTCGTGTATTGATTACATATTTGACATATTTTAAAGTGCTTAATACGAAATTACGATTTATAGATCGTTATTAATATTTACTTTTAATTTGCTTCTTTATGAGAAAATATTCTTGATGATTACAGAACATATTCTTTGATGAAAAGATTATATTGGCGTTATTAAAAACTTTGAATTTTGTTTTAAATGTTTAGTATAAATTTTTAGGTTTATAACAAAGTTATAACTTAACAATGTTCACGGAAGTCTTCTCAATGCATTATTATAAATTTTATTACGGAGTAAGAAAGTATATTTAATTTCATATCTTTCGTTTCATTTATTTCTGTTACGAGATCAAACATTCTTATATTCCTTCACCATAAGAGTAAAATACAAGAAAGTAAAACTGAAACAATTCTTAAAATTGATATTAAATATTCTACTTGAATAAACTGAATTTTATAAAGATGCCTGTGATTAATTATTTGATTATATCAGTAAAGTCTACTACTGTTTCCATTCTTTACTTATTTCATTCATCCATCACTAATAAAAGTACACATTTTTTATTTCGTTACAAGATTATACAGAAACACGTAATTGACGTAACAGTTAATATCTTCCTTTTCAATCAGCTTAGAATCAGTACAACGACCAAATAGCGTGGTACGTAATGACCTTTTTCGTCATAGAACTAAGGGTTAAGTGCCTCGCTGTGTGT